CTAGAAATGGTTTTGTAAAGGAGTAGGCCGACCCCAGTTAGACAGGTTTTTTAGGAAACAACTTAAAAACTGATTCCATTGTCCTTAGATACCGTTTCCATGTTTTTCTTTGTCTGACCACTCGAGACATCTGAACCCTTTGGTTTTGTCGCGTTTCCTTTCAAAGACACCGCTCACCGACGTGCTGGAGTAGAGGATCTCTACTCGTTACCACTTGGTATATTCCTCCTATGTAGGTAATCAAACGTAATAGAATTTTAAATAGGGTCTTTCTCCACGTTCCCACTCCCTGCCCTCTCCCTATCCATCGAGGAAAATCGCTTGCCAGTAAGGCTTTCAATCGTGTTGTAATACGTCCATCTCCTTTCTGATCTTTTTGGATATTCCTTTGTTGCTACTGATTTCCCCCGTTTTGAGCCCTCGCTCGCCTGAAGACTCTGAGAAGTTAGTCTGTTCATTCGATCAAAAATCGAGGGCGGGTAGGATAGGCGGAAGGGGAAGGGAGACTGGGAGGAATTAAGAAGAACATTGGTCATTGACAAGTATTACTGTATTACAGTTTCCGACTATTCCGTTGTTGTAATCTCGACAAACTAGTTTATGATGGTGACATACTTGTGCATTGCACGGTTTTTTAGCCTCATTAATGTGATTCAGCATTTTGTAACCCATTTCCTTTTGAAAAGTATTTTCGTTGTATAGTGTTTGGAATGTACCGCGCTAGAATTACTGTCTCTACGCCTTCCCTTTCGCTCCTGAAATTCTCGCTGACTTGGAATTCACTTAGAAGCTCAAACAAAAGAGGCTTTTCATAAACGACATGCTTTACTTACTCTTTGAAGGGAATTTTCCTACAAATTCAAGCTTTTGCATTCTATAATTTTTGTAGAGCGGAGGTGGTGTAGTGGCAATTGACGTACTATCTCGCGCCATGACCACGGGTTCGAATCCTGGATCGATATCCGTCCAGGCCAACTAAGCCTCCCATCCCTCCGGGGTCGGTTAATTGGTACCAGACTCATCTGAGAGGGTAAAAGCACTGACTTATACATCGGCTGCCCTCCGCAAGTCATTGTGTAGGCCACATACGCATCCAATACGCCACTACGATTCTGAATGGAGGTCGAATGCAGGGACGCATCCCTCTGACGGGATTAATTAACGCCCGAAGGCTTTAGAGTTTAAGTACTATTTGTTCCTCTCCTTCGATCATGAGGACAATCCGTTCATTCAAAGTGACCCCGGTCTTTTCAAAGAAGTAACGACTCTAGAAAATGCTATTTTAGTGGCTTCAATGTTTTGTTTACATTTCATTTATGTCGTGCAAAAAGATGAGTAAACCATGTTAAACGCAATGTTAGATACAGTAATGGAGCCTTTCGACGTTAATCAATCCGTCTGAGGAATGCGCCCACGCAGTCGACTTCCATTCAGAATCATAGTGGCGTATTAAATGCGTATGCGGCCTATACGATGACCTGTGGTGGGCAGCCGATGTGCAAGGCAGAGCTTTTATCCTTCCAGTTGGACCTGCTACTTATTATCTGGCCCCAGAGAGCTGGAAGGCTTGATTGGCTTGAGCGAGTGTCGATCTGGGGTTCGATCCCCTGAGTATGCGTGTGCCTTGCCACTACACTACCTCCACCCTAATATGACTTTCTATCTAAGACAATCTAAATATCGAAGGATGGATCAAAAGGGCCGAAACTGCAGTGTTCGTAAATCATTTTCGCCTTTATAGCCATCGTTGTTTTCGGCATCATCTTACAGAGAAAACGAACGTACACCACAGCACAAAAACAATCATTTCATGATAGGTTGTTTTAATTGGAAAACTACCACGCCTATGCTATACTTGTCCTTCTTTCAGTAATAAGAGCATCACCCTACCACCTGCACCCTGAGGGTTCGTGTTGGAACTGATGAAATGGGAAATCGGAAATTTGTAAATATAGGCAATTTTTAATGACGCTTACATTCTTTGTTCTATGCTTGTAGGCAATTTCCCCACTCGAACCTCAATAATTTTCCACAATAGCATACTACATATTACTTAGTTACAAATCACTCGCAAATTTCTACAACCCTATCTTTTCTTTGGATCTATTCGCATCATTCTCGGGAAATCCTTAGCTATTCTACTCGCTTTCCCTCCTTTTATTTATATCTGTGTGCTTACAACTATCATGCTTTTTTGAGGTCTTGTGAAAGATTCGAACAAATTGGAGGTCAAAAACTTTTGAAGAAATCGTACGGTACCTCCTTTTACCGTATTCCCTAACTCCACTGGTTCTTATCTCGCTTGAGCCCTAATTAGAAAAATATGGGATAGTCTCTGACGTGAATCAATCCCCTGTCCCCCTTGCACTCGACTTCCACAAAACTTAACGGCGTTTCGAATGTCGAATGGCGTAATGATAGGGGATTCGATCCCCGGACCATGTTTGTGTGAAATGCGCTACTTCTCACTAAGCCACCTTACATTAAGTAGTAAAATATGGGGAGCACATAATTGGATACTTTTCGTTATTGTCGTTCAAAAAAAGTTCTCAGACATCTTTAGTCAACGCAATATGCACCGATTGTTACTACAACATGTTGCCACCCTTTGTAAGCGACACCTTCAGTTCCACCTTCGCGATGAGGTGTTGTGCCGTCTGCCTTCCGAAAATCTGTTGACCGAGTGAAGTGAAGAAGATTATTACGACCCTCTTTCAAAATCCTTTGCAGTTTACAAAATCAGTGACCTATACGAGGTTTTCACTCCTTGTATGGGTGTGTTGTGATCGATAGTCCTTCTGTAGAACTCTATTATCTTCTGTCGAAACAAAACTGGAGTCGATCTTGAGTTCATTTCTATTTGCGTGTAATTTTTTTCGACGGCTTAGGGGCTGGAACATGTTGTAACTCATTGGTGTAAGGTGAGAGCAATATGGTGGATGAGAAGGAATTATCCGACTACAAATCCATTATTTCTCCTGAATTTCTTCAGCAATATTGAAGTCGAGTTTCAGCTTGAAGAAAGTGTAATCGTCCTATTTTCCTCTCGAATCTCATTAAAAGTGACAGCTCGGTTGGAGTTCCCACTAATTAAATATTCTTCCATACCACTAGCACACAGAAGAGGTTCTTCTGATTGTAGTTTGGTCTCGAACGTTTCATCAACTTTGGACGAGCTGGTAGAACTGGTTGGGGAACAGTACCTACTTCTCAGCTGCCGTAGCCATGAAAGGTGCTCTTCAATAAAAAAGTATCAAAACCGGAGGTCAGTAGTTGTTCTTCTTGGAAAGAGGCGCCTCTTTTGAATTGACGGTGCCACCGATTCACGGTGGTTTTTTTGAAGTTTGTCCCCACTCGTAATCTGAGCATTTTTCTTAACAGCCTCAGTTCGAGTTTGAATTCAGTAGGTAATTTTAAGACGATTCGTAGAAGAAGATGTGCCTTGACTAAAGTGAGCTATGAAAGAAACAAGCAAAATATTCTACCTAGGATTGGCATCCTGACGGGTTCAAGTAAAGCTGTAGGTAGCTCTCCCGCACCGGCTTCAGTGACAGCACGAACAGTGAAGGTATACCTGAAGTTCTGGGAATACAGGAAGCAAGGAAAAACAGTCAAAGCCTTACCAAGGTGAATTAATCGAGTCACTTACCGTTCTCCGCCAGATAGGCCATCGATTACTGTTTCGACGAAGTGGTCAGCTCGATCGGTGCCTATCGCTACGTTCAAAGTCCGAGTGTCGCTGGGATCATCCTGAAATATCAGATTTTTAAGCAGTTGACTGGATTAAGATGTTTGCAGTCCTATTCGAGGCCATAAACACCACAATCCTCTTGGAGGATAAACATGGCTATCTTCGGTATTGGCAGGGGAGTGAGGCAAAGCTCTGCGTAAGCGACCCCATCAGTTCCACCTTTGCGATGAGATATTGTGAGATTGTGTGAGATTACCTTTCAAAACTCTGTTGACCAAATGAAGCAAAGGAAGGATCTCACATTTCATGAAATCCCTTGCAATTTATAAAGTCATTGGCCCATACGACGTTTTCACCACTTATGAAAGCACGAGCTTCGAGCCCAGTGACCAAATACCTTTCATTTTCTTTTCCCTCTGTATCGGAACACCCTACCCTACCCCATCTGCAATTCACAGTTAGCTTGCAAACCCGAATTTGCGGAGCCTTTAATCTGCACATAGTCGGGAACCGCTACGCAATTCATACGTTCGCTGAAGAATCGGAACGTTCAGACCTTCTTGGCTAAGCAAATAGCGCTGAGCGAGTATAATCTGTAGCTCAAATGCGACGTTCACGTTGGCTACCGGTGTGATGTGAAACCGAAAGCAACAGTAACAAATGAGTTGCACTGTATTTTGGAATAGTATATAATGGGGATAAATAAAGCTCGTCTGGAAAGAATTTGCCGAAATTTTTGCATTAGTAAAATCGATAGGTACGTTTTGACCGTCCGAATTCGGCTATTCCGCTGCCAAAGCCCATCGAAACTTAACCCAAGTATACGGCCTTGGAGCTTCTCTTTAACTTTTCTATGGTTCAAAGGCCAGACCGAAGAGGTCGAAGGTTAGCACTCGATCTAGTCAGGGGAGTGTGACCGTCCTTCGTAGCAGTTCTATGGAAAAATCCGGAACCTTTCAGAAAAGTCTGGTTTTCGTCGCTACATGGTGTACTTTCAGTGATATTATGGTAATTTCCGGATACCTTTGTTTCCAGTAACAACCCTCCCATGTATGGGGCCCAGGTAGTGCTCAGTGAAATTTCACTTTGGCTTGTTATCAGATCGTAATTTGTAAACGGAATTGGGTTCAGTCTGTGGAATACGGTGGGGTGACAAAGTTTTCAAGCGGTGCCATGGTTTTCTAGGACTTCGTCAATTCTAATGATAAGTTGTCCAGGTTGTTGTTGAGGAAGTAGGGAGAGGGGTAATGGGAGGGGCTCTGACTTCACTTAAGTATTCCTTTTTTCAGAAAAAGTTGTCACGTGAATTTTATACCTCAGATTTGACGTCTACTACATAATGCGTTAGGATTCCATTCGGTAATGCCGGTGGTAGCCACATGAGTTGAGCCGAATACGGATTGAGAGGACGAGCTGCAAAGTCAACGGCTGTGAAGCGATTAACGAAAAGTTTAATAAAAGTGAAAATTGCGGTAGAAGATTATTGAGAGGAAATTGCATACCTGAAAGGGAGAGAACCGGTCCCGGTTTGTCCTGCATGGTGGAAAATGTCATTGGACGTATGGTGCGTGAAGTTGAAATACAGTCAGTAGGTCCCGATGCACAAGTAATCTAAAAACTAAGTAAGTAACTTGGAAGCTTCTCTTGACCGTAGTTTCCTTTGTATTCATAATTGACGGATCGGCGGGTGCGCCATGCATTCAGCTCCCATCCTGAATCGTGGTACAGCGAGAGGTAGTTGAATGTGCAGTGTTCTGCCTAAATAGCCTCTTACGTGGGCCAGAAAATCTACGAAGCTCCCGGAAAGCACCGATTACTTCCATACCTTACTCGAAGTAAAAGGCTAATCATTGGTTGGGCTTGCTCTATTTCACAGTGCCCCAGTAATTGTACCCTACGCAGTTCAATAGCGCCTTTTTTCCTGAATACAGCTGGTAGCTTTGCTCTTTTTGTGCCAGATAGGCCTGCCACATGTACTTACCTTGGAGTTCACTGTGTACTTGTGAAAAGGGCGCAGTCCGCCCAATTCGATGGGTGAAAAGTTATGTGACTGAGCTTTCAGCGTTTTGTCTAACACCACATGAGAATGCATGTCCAGTACGATGGCGTTCAGTAGGCATTCGGGATCAGCCTCCCCCTGAAAAGAAAAATTCTTGAGGGGAAGAAACTACCCATATCATGAAATGGAACTGACCGGAGAAACCAAAGCGGCATGAATGACGGCCGAGCTTCTGGTGATGCTCTTGACGGTGATGTTTACCAAAGGAGCAGACATACGGAAGAAGTCATTATATCGTTTCTCAGAGACGATGCCCGATTTGGTCACGGTGAAGATTTGCACCTGAATGGGAGATTGTGTGGGTAAAATCATGTTCAGGGAAGTCCTGAGGGCAAAATTGCAGCCAATAGCTGTTGCACAGTAGTCCTGCACGTACCTTGTAACATGAACCCTTTTTCAGAGCTCCAACTATAAGTGGAGTGGCTTCATGAGGATCTCCCTGCAGACGGCTTCCTTTCTCAAGACCATCGGCCGGAAATAGTCGCATTTGGAGCTGAGATTTCGGGCCGACCACCTGCAACGAAGAGACTCAGGTTACGGTAAGTCCCCACATTCTCGCATAATCGAATTACCTTGTTCCAAATGTCTCGCATTCTTGACATGAAAACGTCGCTTTGGGGCCACGATAGTTTCACACCGCTTTGGTATTCCTGTATATTAATATTGAAACAAATAATAGTGAATAATAAGTATAAAATTACTTTGAAATGACTTATAAGGTGAGTAGGATTATCAAACTACCTGAAGACTCAGTCCGAATCCGGTCATATCGAATGCTGGGGTTAGGACGACACTTCGATGCAGTTTAGTGCTGGTCACATTTTCCACGTAAGTGGACAGAGTGAATTCGAATCGTTCTCCGGGAACAAGTGGCATGAGGATGGAACAGCTGGAACATATGGCATATTTACATCCAGATATTGTAGTCAAGAACTAAGTGGGAGCCACTAGTACGAGAATACGCTAGGGTACTGTCATTAGAGGAACGAGGATCGTCAGTAGGAAATAGCATTAGGAACAGTTGAAAGCGTCCAGGTTCAGCTTTTTTCGGGCTGTGCTTCTGGGGAGGTCGCTCTGGATCGCTTTCGATGAACCCTAGCTTGCAGATAATACTTTTAACAATTTCACGCCTAGATCGAGACAATTAATCCTGAAAGTAAGCCTAGTAAAGTATCCATTTAAGGAACATTGAAATATTTTGTTTGATTTTATTGATCTATATAAATTCCTGTTAGAATCAAACATGGCTAAGATTGGAATAAAACGAACACGGCGATAGAAAGAAAAGAAGAGAGTGAAAATGTAGTGAGAGGGGG